TGTGTAACATGGAAGCCAGATGTCAAGCTGAGGTGTCATTCCTTGGAAGCTAACTACTTTGTGAGGGTCTCTCACTGGTCTTGAACTCACCATGTAGGTAGCCTTCCTGGCCTGGACGCCTCAGGGATCTGTTTATTTCTATCCCACCAGCACTGGATTCCAAGCACACACTACCATGCCCAGCTTTTTTACACAGGTTCTGACGTGCACACAGGTCTTCATCCTTGTACAGCAAGCACTTCACACACTAAGCTATCTCTCTAGCTCCAGAGAGCCTCTCTGGAGAGAACTGGATTTGAGCTGACCCTATGCTCCAAGAAAACTTAAGATACTATTTCTCTTCTGCATTCTCAAGGGATGAAAGAGAGAAGCCAACACCATCACCAGGGGACAGTCCCCATTGTAATCCCGTGATAGCAGTGACTCATATCTCCCTGACAAGCTCCTGAATCCAACCATCGCACTAAATCAGAACAGGAAAAAGGCATTTCCTTTTTAAAGATGGAAAAACAGCAAGGAAATCTGGAGGCAAAGACTGAAAGAGAGCCTTTGCTAACCACCTATGTAGACCCCTCTCCATCAGAAGGGCCAGGAACACTCCACAGTTCTGTCAGGGAGGTCCGGCTCACTCTGCTGAGCCAGGAAGCCCCACATAACCAAGGGATTGGTGAATTCCTGTCTGCTGAATCACATGGCTGTTTTGTATGTATGAAAGAAAAAAAAAAAAAAAAAGATTACCGAGGATCTGTTTGGAATATCAGTAAAAGGTTCTTAATGTAATTTGCCAGTTTTCACCAAGTGTTCCAGTAATTTAAGACATTCTGTGCCTGGGCTCAGGCAGGGTACGGTGCCTGGTTCTTGGCAGTATAAAACAGCCTTTTAGAGGTTTTTGGCTTGAGACAGTGGCAAAAGTTAGAAAAACTGATGGGAGGAGCTTCAGCTCTCGCCTAAGACCTTCCAAGGAAATGAACGAAGTCATACAATTCACTTCCTTATAGAAATGTCAGCTTTTAGTCACTGACTAGGATGAGGCCGTCCCTTGGGGCAGACAAAGGCTGAATACTGGTGAACAAATTTGAGAGATACTCTTTACCAGATAAAAGGTTATATTTAATCCCCTTATATCCAAATACTCAATAGAACATTCTTACAAGTCTGCTCTGTAATAGCATGTTATAAATAATGTAGCAGAAAGATAGCATGTTACTAAGTTTACATTTAATAAAAGGGGGATGAGGGTGGGGAGAGGCAGGCAAGATGGCTCAGTGGGTAAAGGCACTTGCTGCCAAGCCTGAGGACCAAAGTCCCATCCTGGATATGAAAGAAGAAAGAACTATCTCCCAGAAGTTGTTCTCTGGCCTCCACACTCGTGTCATGGCAGGCAACAACCCCCCTCCTCACGCACAAATAGATGGCATACATTTTGATTAAAAAAAAAAAGATTGTGTCGCATTTGTTCAGCAGGCACTTTTAGGAGTGCAAACATACTCATAATCCTCTTTCAGAAACTGCATAGGAATTCACACAGCCATGGAACCTAACCATGATCTCCTTCACTGCCACTGGGGAAACCCCAGGCAACCCAGCAGCAAGGACATGACTCAGGTTGGAAAGGAGTTCGTCCTCTGCCACCTCTGACTCAGAAGACACTACAGTTTTGACTTTCAGACACTGTGCTGACCTCAGGGACAAGAACCACAAACCATTGACCTGCAGGTGGGTTATGCTTGGGTTGTATGCTTTTGCTATTTGAAATGGGGTTGGGTTTGTTGTTGTTGTTTTCAAACAACACTTAAAAGTCTGGAGACCTTACATCAACATGCAGATATCCAACTAGTCCTTGAAAGTCGAAACAGGAGAATCTACTGCCGCTATTTTCTAAATTAATACAGCCTCCAGCCGTATTATAAATACCTATCTTCCTACCCATGGATGAGTACAGCTCTCACTGCTCATCAAATGTGTATCCTTTTGCAGCAGATAGAGCTCGTAACTAGTTAAAAGACGGAGAGTAAGTACCTGTGTCCCAGCTCCATTGGGACATCTGTAACACCACCTCACCCACCCCTAAGGCTCAGGAACATTTGAGGGGTGGGGGACAGAAAGACTGTGAAAGATGTCTGCCGTGAGACAGTGCCTTCTTGACATGAACTTTCAGCAATAAGGTTACGGGCACAAGACCGAACCAGTCAATATACCATATTGTGGAAGGGGAAATTTTAACAGGGTCCCATTTGGATGAAAAGCTACAGATAGCTAATAGCTACTAGGTGGGGAGGATCAGCTTCTCCAGAACAACCTCTGAATAGATTTCCCAGTCCCAAGTGGTCAGCCCTAAACACATGTACATAGGGCAATACTAACAGGACTCAGTCAGTATGTCATGTATATGTGTACACATGTAACAATAATAATTACAGAAGAGGAGTTCATGGATTCAAGAGGGGATGATCAGGGGAACACAGGAGAAGTTGGAGCAGGGAGAGAGGGATGGAAATTATGTCCATATCATGTACTCAGGTATAAAATCCTCAAAAATGAAAAGAAACTAAAAAGTCAGGAGATCTAACAACACAGACCCAACCTTCCTTGACTCACTACTTTGGCTGGGTCAGACAAGCAGCTGGCCACTAGAGCAGAAGGGAGAACCCTCCAGCTTGCCACATTTCCCATCAGCCTCTCCTGTCGCCATGCGGCACTCATAGCTCCACGCATCGGCGCTGCCTATTTGGCCTCAAAAGCACTTAAGTTTGCTGCTCCTCATCTCAACAGGAAGCAAAGGTCTAGATAAAAACAGCCCTTGTGCTTAAGAAACCAATCTAAAGGAGGAGGCAGGCAAAAGTGTGCATTACAGCAGAGCAGTATGGGAGCCTAGGGTTCAGTAGAAACCCAAAGGTGTGACTAACTCCTAGGTGTACACTTAAAGGTAGGAGAAGGGGCTGGGGACAAGGACACAGAGGTAGCAAAGGCAGTCGACAGGTGAAAGAATATTGGGGAGGGCTGGGAAGTGGCAGGCAGTTGTCCCTCGTGTGCAAAGACATAGTAGGATAGCTCCCCCGAGAAGGGACGTGTCACCTACCATGTAAACAATCTGAACTTAAGTCTGGGACAGAGGAGTGCCAGGCAAATGTTTAAGCAAAGTCCAATTGGAAACTACTGTTTTCTGCGGAAAGATACTGGTGGTAATATAGAATATTGTCTGGGGCAAAGAGCTCAAGCTAGCCCACAAGAGGTGTGGAGGAATTTTCCTTTGGGTCAGCTTCGTACGCTCTCTGTTAGAGAAGATAAGTCTCAACCAACTTACCCTTTCTTTATTTCACAGACTGACGTGAGCCCGCCTAGCCATCTTTTCTACAGATTTATTTTAAGTGTATGAACGTTTTGTTTTTGTGTATGTGCACCAAGTACGTGCCTGATGCATGTGGAGGTCAGAAGGGGTCACTGGACTCCCTGGAAATGAAGTTATGGATGGGTGAGCCACCATGTGCATGTTGGGAATCAAACTCAGGTCCTCTACAAGAATAACAAGTGCTCTAAACCCTTGAGCCCTATCTCCATCCCCTAGTTATTTGTGAATTACTGAAAAAATAAAATAAAAACTGTGAGCAGAAGAATCACATTGCAATAGCCTAGGTCTTTGTGGTTGACCCTCAAGTCCACACAAGAAAGATATACTCTTCCACCTGCCATGTCTCCCTTCCTGTTCACACATCTGTGTCAGCAGTTCTAGAAGCTTAAATGGCTTCCATTCCACATGTGGTGCAAGTTTGACTCATCTTCTAGTCAAAGAACTACAAACATAAGCCCAAGCATTGCTCATATTAAGTAAGTCTCCCAACATATTCCACATTAAACTTGTGCTTTGATGCAAGCTCTAAGGGTGATAAAGAAATGGTGTGTTCAAAGGCAAATCACTTGAGTCTGTACCTGTTGAGCTGATAGCATGTGATGGTCAACAGCAAGGATACCAGGCTTTTGCCCAGATACAAACATACACATACACACACACACACACACACACACACACACACACACACACACACAAACCAAACAGATATTTCCCCTCAACTCAGTCACCCTCAAATTAATTCAAATCTAAAGGGTGGGTGGGGGTAGAAGGGCAAATCAACAAGAGTTCTTTTAAGTATCTCAAAGTTATAATAACCCCTGAAACAGCCAGCTTCCCAGACTTTCCTGTTGGAGCAACAGACAGACCTATCTTTCACTTCTTGTCATTACCAATTATCATGACATTACTGAAAATCAGTGAACCGCCAGAGGGCTTAGCGGGTGGGGATGGGGAGCTGCCACTGTCATCATTGCAGACTAAACTGTATGAAGAGCTCTCTCTTCAGAACTTTCACCCTTTGTTTCAGATGCTGAAAAATGTACACTCCGTAATTCTCCTCCCCTAAAGATGGCATGGCATTTCAAAGCATTTTCCCATCAACAGCCAATGTGCACCCAAAGACTTCCACACAATTTACAATCTATGTATGAGCCAAGAATCCAATGAAGAGAAAAACTCATCTTGGAAGAGTTTAGGCAATTTGGCCAATTAGTCCTTTTTCAACTCTGCTGAGAAAGGAACAGGAATTATCTAACGGAAGACTGAACAAAGCCCAAGGAAGCAGCTGGGGTGAGATAAAGGGTTCCAGAAATCCAGGTCCTATCTGCACTTTTGCACATGAGAAAAGTCACACAGTACCTTAGGACTTGAGCCTTGAGCCCTTGAGGGTTCAGCTCTCTACTCCACAAAGCCTGCAGAAGCTGAGGCCACTCGGGACTTTAAAATCTCACCTCTTGCTAAAAGCATTTAGTCTTTACTAATATTCAAACTGGTAGACTCAAAAAGAACAGAAGCTAAACCATCAAGTTATCCCTTGTCAAGAGGCTTATCACCATCATCAGAGACAAAGCCATGGCGAGTAGGCATGGGAGAGTGGGCATAGCCTCTCATCTGGTCACATCTTGACACCCTGTGTGGATGTTGAGCTCACCTTGGTTGCCTCCTCCACACTCTCCCTGAGGGCTTGCAGCTCAGCATCGTACTGTTCCTTCAGCCTGTCCATCTCCTGGTCATGGCTGGAAACCTCCTCCTTCAAGGCGCCCTTCAAGGCAGTCAGTTCACGCTCACGCTTTCTCAAGAGATCTTCCTGCTCCTCTTTGGCAATGAGCAGATCCTGAAGGTCCCGTTTGGCCTGCAAGAGCTCCTGAGGGCAAACATAATCACAGAGGTAAGGAATAGACATCTTTACCAGTGGCCCAGCATTTGCCCCTCTAGACTGACCATCAGGTTTACCACCACCTAGCCTGTCCTTCCCACACCACACACTTCTCAGAGGCCATCATTCCCTTGGGCCTTCCTGACTTAGTTTCTTTGAGAGTTAATGTAATTAGGTTCATTGTCAGTTATGGCTTTGGGAGAAAGTCTTTTCTTGTTTTGTTTTTCTTATGTTTGACAGGTTCTTGAGTAGCCTAGGATGGCCCCAAACTTGCTGCAAAATTAAGGATGACCCTGACTTCTGGTCCTCCTGCCTCCTCCTTCCAAGTGCTGGATTACAGCCGTGCACCAGCACCAACTGGTTGATGTGGTTCCGGGGCTTGAACCCAAGGCCTCAGTCATGCCAGGCAAGCAGTCTAAATAATAAGCACCCCAGCCTGACATGTTTGTTTTTGCAACTCATTTCACATCTGTGCCATGGCCCAGTGTGCCTGCTATAGCCCTTATGTGATACTGTTTCTCTGAAGCGAGCTGACTCGCTGCCTCATCTGCCACCCAGCCTTCAGGATATTGCGTGTGGTTCAATCCTATTCATGTTCCTAGAGCTCTGCACAACTTTTTTCCTATCTTTCTTGCCTGAGGAGAGCATGGTGTTCACATTTTTCCCTCCTTCACTGTCGAAATCTCACAAGGAGTCACAAAACTAAGGCCAGAGGTTCCATTCCAACCCACATTCCCCAAGCAAGTCCCGCCAAAGGCTCAAACTTCTTATGTCCCGGACCCCTTGGACTTCCCACACCTCGGCTCCTCGCTGTGCACCAGGCTTTCCCCCTACCTGAAGCACTCCCCGGAAGTCCTGCCATCTGCCCTGTGCCATCAGCCCTGGTTCCTTCCCATTTTCTGGAATCTTGGCTACCTGCAACCTTTCCCACCAAACTCCTTCAAAGTGTGATCTCACCTCCCCTTAGTCCCCTGCTATGTGGCTTCTGTGGGGCTCCCCTACCAGGACAAGAGCATACAGTGTCCTCCTCTTTTCATTTCTGTTGCTGTGATAGAATGCCCCGCCCAAAGCCACTTAAAAGAGGGAAAGGTTGATTGACTTACAATTCCCAGTTATAGCCCATTAACGAGAGGATGGCAAGGCAGGAAATCAAGGTAGTTAGTAATATCACATCTTTAGTCAACAACAGAGAGAAATGAATGGCCCCCTCCCCAATGCAGCCTACTTCTTGCTTGCCTTCTCAGTTATTATGCAATTCAGGACCCAGCCCATGAAATGGTGCTGCCCAAGCCATGGTGAGTCTTTCCAACTCAATTAAAAACTCAAGGTAATCCCGACAAACATGCCACAGGACAATCTGACCTAGACAATTCCTCAATTGAGATCTTCCCCAGGTCATTCTAAGTTTGTCACAGTGTCAGTTAAAATAAACAACACACCCCCTCACCTCCCCATTCCTGAACCTTGTCTACTACCATTTCCTTGACTTCTCTTGGAGCCTCCCTGTCTCCTTTAAGAGTCTCCTCTCCCTGGAAATCATAGGACAGCAAGGTCCTTCCCTGCAGCCACTTTCGCTACAAGGATCATGTCTAGCTTCTCTACCTTCCAAAAGCTAAGATGTATCTAAGAATGCAATTTTACATTCTTTACTTTCTTTTGGCAAGATTCTTGACTTTTTTCCAATGTTTGTTTGTTTGCCTCTCATTTTTTCCTGGCACCAGCACCCTAGTGACATGACAACCACAAGTATTGCATGCGACACACAAACCTGAGATTAAGTACAATTAACAGCTTTAAGTGACTCCACTGAGAGCCTTCCTCTGGGTCCTTTCCTTGGCTCCAAAGTGGTACACACAAAGTAATGACTTTCATTTAAAAACAACTGACAAGGGAAGTCTTTCCTTTCCTCCAGGATGAGCAAATCAGGCAAATAGGTGGCTGTCACCACACAGGCAAAACGCCAGCCCGCCAGAACACCATCAGCAGTCACCAGCTAGCTCAGATGAAACCTGGAGCCCATCCCTAAGATCTAAGAATGCCCGTCCTAGTTCGGCTCAGTGTTTAGCTGTGGGTGTCTGCTTCTGTTCCCATCAGCTACTAGATGAGGGCTCTATGATGGTGGATAAGTTAGTCATTGATCTCATTACCAGGGAAGGGCATTTAAGATAGCCTTTCCACTGTTGCTCAGATTGTTAGTTGGGATCAGTCTTGTAGGTCTATAATGGCTCCCTCTTTTATGCTCTCTCTCTCTCTCCCTCTCTCTCTCTCTCTCTCTCTCTCTCTCTCTCTCTCTCTCTCTCTCTCTCATATCTATTCCTCCCCTGACTCAATCTTCCTAGTCCCACACACTTTCCTCTCCTCCCCTTCTCTTTCTCCTAGTTCCCTCTCAACTCACTGCCCCCCCACTCCCACCCACCCCCACCCACCCCCACCCACCCCCACCCCGCAACGTGCTCAGAAGATCCAGATACACAGAGGGAGGAGTGATAAGAAAATGGGGACAAGACCAGGCCACAGAAACCCACAGAGACAGCTGACCTGAACAAGGAGGAGCTAATGGACCCCCCCAGACTGATAGCTGGGAAACCAGCATTGGGCTGATTCAGACTCCATGAACATGAGTCTCAGAAGGCCTGGGCAGTCTAAGGGACCTCTGACAGTGGAACCAGGATGTATCCCTGGTGCACAAAAGGACTTTGGGAGCACATTCCCCATGGAGGGATGCTCCCTTAACCTAGAGGCAGGAGGGAGGCCCTAGTCCCTACTCCAAATGACTTGACAGATAATTACGATCCTCCTGGAAGGCATCACCCTCCCTGTGGAGTGGAGGGGGGTGGGGGGGAATGGGAGGGAGAGAGGGAGAAAGGGAGGGAGAGAGGGAGAGAGGGAGGGAGGGAAGGAGAGAGAACTGGGGTCGATATGTGAAATGAAAACAAACAAACAAACAAACAAACAAAAAGAATACCGTCCTAACACTCAGTAAAGGGACCACTTGGGTGTCCCTACCCATCTCTTTGTGAAGAGGAGCAGAAATCGCCCATCACTGTTGCCATTGACCACCTCTCTAGGACTTAATGGTGCCTCCTGTCAGCACCTTCAGAATGGCCCCTTCCTGCTTTTATTCTCACAGTTTTCAGTTGTCTTTAGATAGGCCAGTTCCTCTCCCCACCCTTATCTCCTGTAGGATATATTTGTGTTTGTGCTGCCGCCAGGACGTGTCAAGGACCAAGGACTTTGCAGTCTATTCTACACTGACAGGGTGTTATCTGTGACTGGGACTGTCACTTAAGTGGGCCATGCTGCATGAATCCAATCAGATTAGGCCTTGCCATATCACACAGAAGTTTCCAGAAGGCAGGCCAACAAGCACATAGGATTTCCAAAGCTTCACTTTAATCTGAAGGCTTAATTATATCAAATGGAGAGAGGGGAAAGTAGGAAAACTTCAAAATATAAACAAACTACAACAGAGAGAAATGCTCCTCTCTGGAGACTACAATCAAAGAAAACAAGGGGAAATTGGGCTATCTAGAGTCACTGATTTCCAAACCTTCATGCAGTCAAGATAGGCCACATGTGACAAGGAACCAGCCAATCCACACCTAGTTTGGGGTCCCTGAGCTGACTCAGCAGCTAAGGTGCCGGCTCCCAAGCCTAAGCACAGAGACTGGTCCTCAGGACCCATGTGGTAGAGGCCCACAAGTTGTCTGAAATTCAGTGACAAGGGTACCCCCATACACACACCCACAAAATAAATAAGTGCAATAACGATTTTAAAATAGAACAAAACAAAAAACTCCAGTGTATATGCGGAGCAAGTAAAAGAAGATCTAGAAAGGCTGATCATGTTTGGCAGTTATTGCATGAGAATAATACCATTTCTAAAGAAACAAAAAAATGGCTATTCAAAGAGATCAAGATCCATTCATACATGAGAATGTCAGTTCTGAGGTGCTGACACACCTCCAAGAGCACACATCTGGGTATGGGGAGCCAGCTCAGTGAGTAAAGTACCTACCTGCCTTGTTACCACCAGGACACTAGTTCAATTCCCAGAACACATGTGCTTTAAAAAGAAAAAAAAGTCCCGATGGCAGGTGCATTCAATCCCAGCTCCGGAGAGACAGGGACAGAGACAGATTTTCCTGGGCATCCCTGGCCAAACACCTTGCTAGCATGCTTTACAAGTTCTAGATTCATCCCAGATATCAAGATAGGCTGACATTTGAGAAACAATAATTGAGGTTTCCCTCTAGAACCCACATGACACACACACACACACACACACACACACACACACACAGTCACATACACACAGAAAAAAAATATTTTTTAAAAGTCTTTTTTAGTTTAAAAGAGGCATAGATCTCAGGTCCTGGGGATGTAGTTCATTTGGTAGAGCTCTTGTCTCAAATGCATGAGACCCTGGGGTCTATCCTCAGCCTCACATTAAAAAAAGGAAGAAAAACGAAAAAGGCAGAGTACCCATCCACAACCTCAGCTTGTAAGAGGTAGAGGCAGAAGGGTCAGGACTTCAAGGCCACCCTTGGTTACATAATGAGTTAGAGAGTTTTAGTCCAGTCTGAACTACAAAAGAGAAACACTGACTGGGGAAAAAAAAAAAATGTTCCCAGACCCAGGAATTCAACAAATAATAAATCTTTCCTATTGTTCATCAGTTCTTAGCGTTAGACTAAGAAAACAAATATTCTCTACTATACTTTCCTTTAAACTATTTTTTTAAAACACAAAGTCTCAGTCAGTATGTAACTCTTGCTACTCTGGGTCTCCCTCTGTAGACCAGGCTACCCTCTAACTCACAAAGATCCCCCTGCCTCTGCCTCCCAAGTACTGGCATTAAAGGCATGTGTCACTATGTCTGGCTTCTCCCCCTCCCCCACCCCCACCCCCAATATTATTTTACAAATTCCATGTAGAGGCTTGATGCTATTTAACAAAAAGTGATGAATTTCTGGGCTGGGATGGAGTCAGTACCACAACATGTCCCTAACATGCAGAGAGCCTTGGCTTCAGTCACCAGCAGCTTGGTAAGAAGAGAGAGGTTTCACAGTACATCTGGACTGCTACACAGGCTCATCAAGCATCAACATTTTCAAACATTCAAAAGCTTATAGATTCAATGTCCTTTGTGTTTTAAGAGTCAGTTCTCAAGCAGAAGCCATTGGAAAACTTGGCCCCAACTCTAATCTGTTATCGAATTTCTCCGGGCTACTTCTTAGGAAGATACAAAGAATAAATTGAAAGTGGCTGGGAGGTGGGATCTTCTTTATTAGTGCTGTGGAAACTGTAGGAGGTACTGCAAAAAGTTGTTAGGAAGTCAAAAGAAAGTAGTAAGGTATTTCCTGGGGGCAAGGCAAAACATGTAATTGACATAATGGCTAACAATGCCTCTCCACCCTTCTGCAACTGACCCAGATCATGTCAGGAGAGTGACAACCAGGACCCCAACTGCAAGATGTTTAAGAAGAGATGTGCTCTGTCCCCATTCCTGGTGTGGCCTGAACACATGTCACCAAAGCCAGAGGCCATGTCCTCATCCCCCTCCCCACAAAATCGGGTTCAGAACAAATCAGTCGTCAATAGGCGTTAAAGGCCTGGGCTGGGGGTGTGACTCAGTTGGCAGAGTGCTTGTCTAGCATGCATGAAGACCAAGGGCCTACTCCTTTGCACAGAATAAACTGGGAGAGGAAAGATCCACCAGCAACCCCTGCACTTGGGAGATGGAGACAGGAGGGCCAGAAGCACAAGGTCATCCTCAGCCATATAACTAACTAGTCTGAGCCCAGTCTAAGCAACATGAGATCCTATCTCAAAAAAAAAAAAAAAAAAAAAAAAAGTAAAATAAATAACACACAGGTCATCTTAGGATTACTTCATTTTAGAAAAACATGGTAACTTTTCAAAAATAATTTAGGTCAGGAAAATTATTCTTTCGCTCTGTAATTAAGAAATATGCTGCAGGAAGCAAAGATGGCAGAAGACACATGACTGCATTGAAGGAAAGTATGTAAAAGTAGAGCAAAACGGAGAGAACAGAGGATGGATGCAGCCCAGGGCATGGCAGCACGGACTACACCACCCAGGGCATGGCAGCAGGAACCACAGGAACATCTTCTGTCCACTGGACTTAACGGTGAAATGCCTCTGAAAACATAAGTTCTCCACTGACATCCGTTCTGGGAATTTATTCTTAGGGAAAATTTTATTTTAAGGAGGGGCTTATATATCCCAGGCTGGCCTTTAGCTCACTACTTCTAATAGACTCAGAGACAATAAGGGTTGAGTATTCATACTCATTGTATGCATGTTATAGAAACCATAAGCATGTTGGTTACTATAAGGATATTGTAACTATGTTAGAAAGTTCCCTAAAAAAAGCAAAATATAATCTTATCCGTCATTTACTTCAAAATAGTTAAGACATGTAAAAAAAAGATGAGCAGATGAGCAGAAAAACTAATGGAGGAATATCACAAAACATTGACACCTCCTCAATCTGTGTTGAGAATTAATGAATGCTAATACACTATTCTCTATGTGTGTGTGTGAGTATATGGTATGAGTGTGAGCATGTGTGTATGTTATGAGTGTGAGCATGTGTATATCAATGAAAGCATGTGTGTGTATTTATATATGAGTATGAGCATGTGTGTGTGAGAGCATTTGAGTGTGTAAGAGTGTGCGTTTATATGTGTATAACAGTGTGTGACACTTACACATATATGAGTATGTGTAAGTGTGGAGGTTATAGACCAGAAGTCACCTCTGATATCATTCCTCAGATCTCACCTACCTTGTGACACAGAGTCTGTGGGCTACAGGCTCACTGAATAGGCTAGGCTGCTGGCCAGCACACCTCTGGGATCTGTCCATCTCTACTGCTCCTGCACTAGGATTATGAGTCGAACTATTCTCTTTTTACATGGGTTCTGGGGATTAACCTCAGTTCCTCATGTTTGCCCAACAAACACTTTATCAGCTGAGCCATCTCCCCAGTCTCTGTCATGCTATCCTTCCTATTGTCCACAATGGTTAAAAGCTTTCCTAAGACAATGATGAACTCATAGAATCTAAATGCAGAAACCAGTGGAACAAACACACACAGCAGAAAGCAGCTCGTAGCATCCAGCTCCTGAACCCCCATCCTCCCAGATAGGTGGGGGTGACACCTGGTCCCCAGTGCCTTACCTCGATCAAGGCTCCTTTCTCTCTGTCCTCAGACTGCTTGGTACTGTCCAGTTCGTCGTGCATCTCTGACAGTTGGTCCTGCAGGTCTCGGATCTCTGTCTGGTGCTGTTCCCGCTCCATCTTCACCTGGAACAGCCTAACAGGACAGGGAGAGGTCCATCAGAGAAGCCCCTGGGATGCTCAGTGCTCACTTTCAGGCTGTCGCATGGTCACCTATAGCCCCAAGAAGCCTCCTTAGCACTATGGTCTAATCTAGCCAAGAGGTTAGATGAGAACTCAAACCAACAAAATGGGACAGATTTGCAGGAACATTTTCTACCAGAAAGAGACCATGAAATACTAGAATTTGGACACAGAATATGAAGAAATGCCTAAAACCAAGGAGAACCAGCCAATATTATGAAACAGGAGACCCATTAGGTTAATGTCTGTGGTCAACCCTGATTGTCCATCTCTGGGTGTGTTTACGAAGTTGTTCCCAGAAAGGAAAACAGACCTTGATTTTAAATTCCTTTGCCACAAAGTTTCACAGGATAATAAGGCAGGTAGAGCCTTGGAGTTACTTTTCCTCTCTACAGGCGGAGCAGAAGTGTAAGTATGCATCATAGAGACCAACCCATTCTGGGTCAGGCTGGGTCACATTCTGGGAGATTGTGAACCCCACAGGCTAATGCACTTTGGAGGCTAGACCTAGGCTTCTGTAAACCTTAGTGGTCAGATATCATGCTGGAGATTCCCAGTAGAAACCTTAGTCATAATATCACCCCTCAGGGGCCACTGCTTCTCACTCACCTGCCAAAAGATCCTGTTGGGCCTGAAGCTTTGTAAGACACACTCAAGAAACGCAAAGGGCTTTAATGACTCTTAAACCTCCTGTTATAGCCCCAGCTGCACAATTTTGTAAGAGGGGGAAAAAGGAAAGGAAGATGAGTGGCCTTGATAAATACTTGGAGGGCTAGGAGGTGTGAAAAGGACAGAAGGTTCTAGTAACATAGGACTCAAGTCAGGAAGGGCAGGGGCTCCAGCCTGGCACTCACTCTTCCAAGTTCTTCCGAAGCTCGCCCTCACTTTCCTCTAGCCGTCGCTGCAGGGTGGCTGTCTCCTCCACTTGGCTCTGGTGCCGGCCTCGTAGCTCTTCCAAGTCCTCTCTCATTCTCTCTCTCTCCTCCTTAATGTTCTGATGGTTCTAACAGGAATCAGTATCATTTTAAAAGACCTCTGTTGTCTGTCAATACTGAAACACCACCCCCACCCTCTCTCTGCCTGTCTGTCTGTCCACCTATGACAGGGTCACATGTAGTGCAGGCTATGTAGCCAAGGATGATCTTGAACTCCTGATCTTCTTGCCTTCACCTCCCAAGTGCTGGCAAGATGGGTGAACTACCATGCCTGGATTATGAGGGGCTGGGGCTGGAACCCGGATTTTTATGTGTACTGAGCTACTCCCCAGCCCAGAAGCCCCTTTGTGAACACTAATGGACTCCAGGCACTATCCCTTCATTATTAAACAACTTAATCAAATCATGTCATTAAGGTTCGGAAGTTCCAGAAAAAATATGAAATATTCATGTTTAGTGAATTGAACACTTTTAAAAGAAAAATGCAAACATAGCTAGACCTCATTTTGCTGTTTTTATTACTTCCATTTAGTGCTTTATGCACTTAGTACCCATTGGTCTGCCTATCTCCAACAGTATTACTTTTGCTCAAAGCAAACAATTTCTGTGTGCTCCAGCTGCTTTAAAAAAAATTCTTTGGCTAGTAGCCACCAAATTCAAAGGAATGTGCTCAGGGATGGCAGGAATGTTTCTTTTAGGGGGGAAGATTTTTGTGACTTTTACCTCACCTGGACATCCCAATGTGTTCTAAAAATCCTTTATACCAAGACAGACTTGGGGAAAATCTAAGAGCCTGATACCTTCATCTCCAGTTGCAGCTGCCTCTGTAGTTCAGACACTTCTGAGATCAGTTTGTTCTTCTGCTCCAATAGGTCTTTGACTTCGGAGTTAAAACTCGAAGCCTGCAATTAATTACGAAGATATCCTCAGTTAAATGCTTGAGATGCTTTGCTTGAACTTTCCTCCCCCACAGTGACATTGGGATATAATGGATGCCTCACAGCACTGACCATCATAAACCTCAGTCATGCAGGAACCTCCCCCAGAGTTAACGGTGATGCTCCCTCACAATTTATTTTACATCTTTCATCCAAGTCCAGGGACTATTGCACTAGATTTCCGACATGACTCATTCACGCTTGAGAAAGGTGGTAGATTTATTGGACATCTTTCAAACATATTATGAAATATTAAGGTACTAAATTTAGGACATGTGTCTACCTGCTTGTGTGTGCATGTGGAAGCCCAGACAACCTTAGGTGTTGTTTCTGAGGCACCATGATCTCTCACTGGGCTGGGGCTGGCTAAATAGGGTAGGCCGGATGGCCAGTGAGCCTTGGGATCTTCCCTTCTCTGCCTTCCCAGTGACGGAATTTGAGGAAGAAAAAAAAAAAAAAAAAAAAAAAAAAAGGGTGGAGAGGGAGAGCAACTGAAGAAAGCATCCAGTGTTGACCTCTGGCCTCCACGTGCATGTGCACACATGAAAAAGTACGTACACACACAAACACACACACACACACATACACACACACACATACACATCACCCCACCCACCAATACAAGCACACTACCAAAAGCAAACCCCAGAGTGAAATGGGGGATTTAGATGTTAATTGTGTGTCAATATCTACCCACACTAACAAACGGACCAGAGGATCACAGTAGTGTAAGGAACATTCCTGTCCTTCCTACTCAATACTGCTTTGAGCTTAAAATAGCTCAAAATACATATAGCTTATCAGACTGGGGATGTAACTCAGGACTACATATAATTGACTAGCATATGTGAGGCTCAGTGCTCAATGCCGTCACCACAAAACAAAACCAGTGAGAGTAATTTATTATTTTAATTCAAGAAGAAAAAGAGCCCAAAGAGGATGAGCAACTCATGTTGAATTAAAAAGCATCTAGGAAATTATATACCATAAGCAAAAGACCAATCTTGGGATAAGGGTATTAGGAGGTAAGAACACCACAGGAAAAGCTATTTTAAAACTATTTTTAAAAGAAACTATTAAAAAAAAAAAAAAACACCTTTTTGGTTTCTGAGATGATTCCTACTCTGTGTTATAAAATTCCAAAAGTTCATCAGAAAAAGAATGTCTGAGAGTCAAAGAAGCCTACCAAATGCTGACCCTGGGAGACACTAGAGTCCTAACTAGTCAAAGTAGACTAAGCTTGGCTGACATCTTCGCATTCGTTTGAGATATGAGAAGGGAATGCAGGTCCTGCCATGGGAGTGAAGGTGAAACCTAATGAGACTCACTTCAGCAAAGCCAAAAAAAACAAAACAAAACAGCACCTATAGAATGAAGGTGAGCCACATTTGATTTAGTTCTCAGGAGACAATTCAACTCCCCTGGATGGAAGATAAAACCATCTAGTACATGTATAAGTTGTCGTCCACTACCTAGCATACAATTAGAAAATCCTGGATGGCTTTAGCAGCAGGCAAAAAAATGATGGTTTCCCTGTGGCAGTTAGAATCTAGAAACATGGTCAAACAGCAACATGAAATCTGAAACCGAAGAGCTCATTGGGTGGCTCTCAAAAGACTGGTGGTCCCTGGGGGCCTAGGGAGATGGCTAACAGTTAACAATTCCCTGGGCAAACAAGAGGGCCCAAGTTTAGATCCCCAGAACCCACATAGGTGCTGAGTCAGTGTGGTGACTCACCTATGATCCCAGCCTGGGAAAGTGACAAGATGCCTGGAGCAAGCTAATCGGTAAAATGAACTGAATCAGTGTGTTTTGGGTTTGATGAGAGACTTGCTCATTAGATTATGATTGAAGAAGGCTCCAGGAAGATTCTCTGCAACTTCAGGTCTTCACACACATGCACTCATGTGTCCAAGCACACCACAAACACACATATGGGAAGAAAAATTATCATTTTCAAAGAATGATGAGGGTGTTTTTCAGGACATTTGAAAGATAAACCCTTAACCTTAAAAGAGATAGAGTCAGCCAACAAAATTAATAAATTTGAAACAAGAGAAAAGTACACACTTTTAATCTCACTACTCAGGAGGCAGAGGCAGGCAGATCTCTGAGTCTGAAGCCAGCCTGGTCGACAGCTAGAGCTGTTACAGGGAGAGAGAGAGAGAGAGAGAGAGAGAGAGAGAGAGAGAGAGGGAGGGAGGGAGAGAGGGAGGGAGGGAGGGAGGGAGGGAGGGAGGGAGGGAGGGAGGAGACAGAGAGAGAGAGAGAGAGAGAGAAGAATATCCAGAGTATATACTATGCCAAATGGAACCAGACAGACACACACACACACAACACACACATAGACACACATGCAGACACACACGGAACAAGGGAGATCATAAAAAAAAGTAAAATACATGTATCTGGAATACAAGGAGAACAGAATGTGAAGGAAATATCCAAAACAAATGGATAGGGTATTTGAGATGTGACGAGTGCCAGGAAAACAATGAAGTCAAGAGAACCACATTCAGGCACATTACACTCAAACTTAAAAAAAAAAAAAGGGATGATCAAACATTCCAAGCACCTCCAGAGAGATGTGTCGCTTAAGAATGCTGCCTGCCTTTCAGGGGAGCCATGGAGGCCAGAAGATGAATGTTTCTCCAAAGTGATCAGATGAAAAAAAAAAAAAATGCTCCCCGAACTCAAGAGCCTCCAACACAAGAGGGGACAAAGGCCAGTATGAGCAAACACTGAGAGAGCCCACTGCCCCCAGAAAAGACAGCACAACAGTCTAGAACAGTCCCTGGGACGGAAGAACACGGCCCTAGGCAGAAAACACAGAAGCACAAAAGGGATGGATGCAACTCAAAAGTGAACAAACCAGAATGAAAGGTAAGTGACATACAGGAGAAGCAGAGGGCACAAATAAGTGGGGAGAAGGCTCGTGCTTGTGAAGGGGACCAGACACATGAAGATGGCAGCCTGAGCAAAGTGATGTGCATATCCAGTGTTAACCCCAGACAAAGTCTCTGTTTTTCTCTCCTTGCCTTTCTTAAAGTTATTTCTATGATTTTAAGTGTGTGTGTGTGTGTGTGTGTGTTTGATGCACATGTGGGCAAGTGTGTGCAGGTGCTTACAGAAGCCACAGGTGTCTGACTCACTGGAGCTGCCGGTAGTGTTAACCGCATGACAGGGCTGAGAACAAAGCTCAGGTCCTTTGCAAGAGCCCACTCTTAACTCCTGAGCCATCTCTCCAGCTCTGCCCACATCTGGAAAATCTAGCATTTGTATGGAAAGGTGAGAGACTTAGAACAGCCAACTTAAAGGGAAGAAAAAAGGGATAAAGTCAGAAGGCAGACATTACCAGATTTGAGAGCCTAAGGATACAGTTCAGATCTGTATGAGACCGAGAGAAAGAGACGTAAGGAGCCTTGCTGCAACAGCACAGAGGGCCTAGTACCGGGCCCCGTATGCACCACTGGTAGGAACTTTAATTGTTGCGATACTTCCTGAAACCATTTAGAGTATGCACAGCAAAGCTTCGGCTTAATTTATGACCTGGAAGCTCACTCCTATTTATTATATACCAGAGAAGTGAGTGAGTGTTCATTACAAAACAAGTTCATGAATAGTGATATTTGATGCCCACTGTAGCTTTATGTTAAGAGTCCCAAGCTGGAAATATTCACCAGAAATATACTAATACACACACACACACAAATCAATATGTAATAAAAAAATAGTAAGTGTAACATTAATGAACTTTACTGACATAATATAGAAGAAATAAAGCCGGACAGACAGTAACCAGGTGACTATATGAAATTTAAGTAAAACTAATCTAAGTGATGGGTGTCACAATAAGATTACCTCAAGAAATAGGGGACAAGACTGACAGGGAAAGACCATTCAGGAAACTTCTGGATGAAGGGAGTACCCTGTCTGTGATCTGAATAGGATTTGCCCAGATGCAAATCTATGATAAAAATACAGAGAACTACACAGTTACGATTCTTGGAATTTACTTTAAGTTCCACCCCAATAAACCAGCATAAAGTATCTATTTAAGGAACACCTGTTGTGTGACATTCTCCAGGAACCTGTGTGTCTGCGCAGCCAGACCTTCCATCTCCCAACCTCCCTGTCTCTGGGGGATAATACTCCCGATTGCCAGGCAGACTTTCACCCCCCCCCCACCCTCAGCATAGGCCTGTCAGCAAGTGCAAATAAACACACTTGGGCCAAATTGGCTTCCTCCATTTAGTCCTTGCATTGCCACCAAGAAGAGGGGCCAGATTAAACAGTCCTTAGGAGGTATGGCGTCTGATCTGAGTGTGACTATCAAGGGCTCTTGTTTCTTTTCTGCCATGGACGTGATAACAGGATGAAGGTCTCCAGAGAAATTGGCTAAAATCCTACAGTTAAGTGGCAAGGCGAAGCGATAAAAGCAGAAATCTAAGCTATAAGATGCAGAGTCAAAGCTCAACAAGTCGCTGGTCCAGGTGTGGGTTGGGTATAATAACCCTGGAAGAGGCACGTCTCACAGACTGTGGGGACGGGGACCAGAGCCCCAACTGCAAAAGCACAAAAGTGCCAAGTCTTCCAGTGCAATGAAGGCACCCACCACAGAGCCTAAATCCAGCCCAGTGGGACAAGTCTCACACAAAAGAGGGAAGGAGAGGAAGGAGGGAGAGAGGGAACCAGGGAGGCGGCAGGGAGGAGAAAGGAAAGAAATAAACAAGACTCTATCTGCTTTGCAGTTTGCACGATGGTCTCAGTCCATAGAGAAAAGGCTCTAATGTTCTCCCCTAGGGAATCACTGAACATATTTGCAGAAGATAAAAGTCCAAAACTTTGCCAGCAAAGGATCAAATTCAGAACATAAGAAGGAGATAGGGGACACGGTGCACAGCGCCAGAGATCTCATCCTGTCTTCCTCAAGCCAGCAGGGCTTCTTAACTGGTCTCTCTCTAATCTCACCTCTCTCTAAAAGCAGCAAATGCAATGAACTCGTGCAATACAACAGCACCTGCGTCTGTGCGAGAACACTTGCCAGGCACGCATGAAGCCCTGGGTCACATCACAGCACCACACAAATGGGTGTGGAAGCTCACACCTATGATCCCAGCACTTATGAGAACCACATGTCCAAGGCCAGCTGTAGCTACATGAGATCCTGTCTCAAAAGAAAATAAAAATGCCTTTCATGGTAGCCTAGAGGGGAAATGTCCTATCTAGCTGTTCCCCATGTTCTGGTTTTGTGTAGCAACTACATGAAATTACTTCTACAAACATGAACATGGCAAACTTACAATTCTTAGTACTGTCTGTGCCTTTCTTATAACCTAGACTATCCTGCCTCCTGCCTTCCTACAAAGAACGCTTTGACCTTAGATATCTTATTCGCAGAAGGGACACACTGACTTCCCTAGTTCCGGCTGGCGGCTGCAAGTCCATAATCCGTAATGACAATCTTAATGTCAAGTCTGAAGGCTGTGCCCTTCCCACAGCATGCAAGTAAACAGAAGGCAAGAAATAGTAGTTGTGATTTAAATGTAAAAGTTTGATCAAAAAATATTACATTAATGTTAAGAAATATGAGAGATTTGATTCCAGCATACTCTGGAAATGCAAGAAGACAGACCTGTGAGTCTAAGACCAGCCTGGTCTACACAGTGAGACCCTGTCTCCAAACAAGTACTATCAGAGAGGAGGATTGGGTGAGGAAAAGCTAAAGCTAAAATTCATTACAAGTGTATATGAAATTGCCAATAAATTTTGGTTTTTGTTTTTTCCAGCTCTATAGACCAGGCTGGCCTTGAATTCAGAGATACTCCTGCCTCTGCCTCCCAAGTGGTAGGATTAAAGGCGTGTGCCACTACTGCCTGGCTGCCAATGGATTTTTTTTAATAGAAAGAAAAATTAGGTACAGCTCCTGAAAACTGTGTATAAGCAAATTATAGTTTTAAGTTCCCAAGTCAGAATCACGGTCCTGTATTACACACATACATACTTTGACTCTCTCTCACCCTCTCTCTCTCTGTCTCTCTCTCTGTCTCTCTCTCACACACACACACACACTCCACCACCACCCTCACACTCACAGCATAGTCACAGGCATGCTGAATGCTAGAGCTCTTCTAGCTGATCATTTGGCTGATGCATAAAAATATTCTCTACATTTCTTATCTAGTCATGACTCCTCTAAGATGGTTGGTTTTAGAAGTATTTCAGATTTGGGGTTATTATTTTGGTATTGAAATAACTGCATGAATATAATGAGATATTTTATGAACACAAGTAGAAATGTAAAATTGATTTAAATGGCATAAATTTCTAATACGCAGAGCCCAGAGGGGACTTGATACAATGGTTTTAACAGCTTTCTGCATGAAAAGAAGTTGTGTTTGTGTCCCTGCATGTGGTCAAGTGTTGAATTTTCCACATGTACCAGATCAACACTCAAGAAGTTTGGGGTTTTAGGGTATTTTGGATTAGAATATTTAACCTGTGTTTAAAGCCAGGCTGTCTGTCTGCGGCACTGCATGCTCCTAGAGGGGACATCCCACTTACCGCTGTCAACAGCAGCTAAAGAAACCAGCCCCTCTCCACGTTTCATGTTAAACACGCTCTACAGAACACAAAAGTTACAACTTACTTGATTATTGCCTTGTGCACTCCCTGCTGCTCGAGACTTTAAGGTCTGGATTTTCTCGAAGACCAGGTTGACTTTCCGTTTGGTGGCATCCTCATTGTCTGTGCTTCTGCAACGGCAGCAGAGAAAACATTAAGGAACAAAGCCGTCGGCCTCAAGATTTTCCATGTGCCCGTACACTCACAGCGAAGGCCCTTGAAGATGAACTGCAAGCCTCTGAGTGAACTAAAGCTACAGACAAAACCAGTGCTTGATGGGCAAGATGGAAGGACATTACCACTCAGTCTCGGCAGAGACATTCATTCCCAAATATCTGCACATGACAGATGCACCATCCAAATTGAGCTCAGTGAATATAATGTAAGCCATTGCTTGACTCAGTGTCCCAAAGGGAATTACACACACACACGCTTTTACACCTCAAGATACCAAGATGTTCGAGGATTTTTAACTTATTTGGCCTCTGTTTAAGAAAAAGAAGCCCCAATGCCAAGACTGTCCAACAGCAGCCCTTTGTCTCTACCTCCATGGTTAATCAGATCATTTTACCACACCCCTGGCAATTAAGGGATTTAAAACAAAATTCCTTAAACAGGCACCTACTATTAACTTAGGTCTCATTTATCTCTCAACAAATCAAGTGAGAAAGAAAGAAAAGGAAGGGGAGGGTGGGAGAGGAGGGGGAGAGAGGAAGCTCGGAGAGGGGGAGGAGGAGAGGGGAAGGAGAGGGGGAAGGAAGGAAAAGAAAAGAATTTTAAAACCACAATCTTCTACCTTAATTTTACAGGGTGAAGCCCTTCACAGGCAGTATTAGAAGCTCTGTGGTCATTTTTAAGCCCCTGTGTTATGTTTTGAACCCACTCTGCCAGCTCTGTCAGGCTGACAATTTGTTTGTAAATCACAGCACACAAACACCCACTGTTGACAGCTGCATGTCTCAGGTGGATGACTTTCATTCCCGTCATACTTGGAAGTCTCTGCTTTCTTCTAACCACTCTAAAAGACGACTGTGACAGAAACTTCAGATTCCTGCTCCACAATCCCAGCATGGCTGGCATGGAGGAACAGAACCCAAGTGGCTGGAAGAGAGTTTCCAAGATAGGCTGGGCAAGCATTGCTCTCAGATGCCTCCTGGGTGCTTGACAATCATGGAACTGGGCTCAGACCACGCACCCTCTGGGACAAAGGAATAGCTTTCATTTGGAACTTCCAATAAGGGGTGATGGAGATTGCCATGGTGTGGAAGACCTCCCCATCCCTGAGCTTGTTGTGATACAGTAAAGGTCTGCTTCTAAAACATTGATTTAAGGCAGGAGAGATGATGACTCAGTGAGTAAACTGCTGAGCATGGATCCCAGAACACACAAAAACTAGTCATAGTGGCACATATCTGTAGCCACAGGGTTTGGAGGCGGAGACAGGCAGATATCCCAGGAACTTGCTAGCTAGCCAGGCTACCTGAAACAGGGACTTCCAGTTCAGTGAGAAATCTTGTCTCAAAAAAAAAAAAAAAAAAAAAAAAAAAAAAATCGCTGATTACCAGGTGAGCATGGACGTTGAATGCACCTGTATGTACATGTGCACATAGGCATTTCTCATGGACACACAAATATACAAATATAAAGTTTACCTGTTTCTATTTTTATTTATTTATTTATTTATTTATTTATTTGTCTACCTGTTTTTAAATGGCTTACAAAGAACATCCTTCCCTACCCCCTAAACCTAGTAGGAAACTGCATCCTTAGCTGGCTCAGATAGAACGGGTAATAAAGGTTAAATACAAAATCCCAAATACAAGTCAAGAGCCCCGCCAGAAATGGCAATGACTTTGTTCTTTAAGCAAAAAAAAAAAAAAAAAGCGCGTACCCTTCTTTGAGATAATTGTAAAGGATCTGCTTGGCTGTCTCCTCATTGGTTTGTTGCGAGAGCTCCTGCTGTCCCTTTAATAGATCTGGTGTGGCCTGGAACATAATGAAGTATGTTATTAAACCAAGAGGGTGACACTCCCAGGAAGATGGCAATGACCTTGAAGCAGAGGCTGCTAGCACACTCCTTTCCAAAATCAATTCATCTGGCCAGCCTCCTCATCCCAAACTCCATGAGATTTGGACCTCGGGCAAGTGACTTCTCATCCCCGGAGTTTTCTCAGTGCTTAATGAAGGTTAATAGCAGTGCTTCACACAGCTGGCGAAATGCTATTATATCAGAACACCCTGAACTTATCAGCCTTATCATTGTTTTTATTGCTGTTACTATTTTTTTAAACTATTACTATCAAAACACTCAGTGTGCCACTTAGACTCTATCACTTTGCAATTAACCTAATTTCCCAAACCTAGCCACCCAATTTCAGGAATAAAAGTATATGGATGTAAACCTAACCTCAGAACCTGTGTGTTAAGACTCATTGTGTCTATGTACAGACTTTACACATGTGAAGAGAAATGGACTCTACAGAAAGGGAACTGGCAGCATTCAGAATAATCTAGAAAACCATACAGCTGACAGTAGGGTATAATCTGATAAAAAGTAATAATAAAACAGCGGGCCATGGTGATGCACCCTTTTAATCTCAGCACTTGGGAAGCAAAGGCAGGAGGATCTCTACGTTCAAGGCCAGCCTGGTGTATAGAATGAGTTCCAGTACAGCCAGAGCTACCCTGTCTCAAAAAAACCCAATAGATTAATAAAAAATGAAATAAATAAAATAAAACAAAATGTGCAAGGGCTGGAGAAATGGCTCGGTTGGTGGAGGGCTTGCTCTGAAGGCATGAGACTGAGTTTGATCCCAGAACCTATGAAAAAGCCAGGTACTGCACCCGGCTAACATCCCCACACTGGGGAGGGGGAGACAAGGAGCAGACAGCTAGTGTGGCCCATCAGTGAGCTCCAGGTCCAGTGAGAGAGCCCCTCTCAAAAAGCAAGGTGGACAGCGACAGAGGAAGACCCCAGATGGCAACCTATGGCTCCACACACATGTGCACCTGCATACCTATATTTGTGCACATACATGCAAACGTGCACTTACACACACAAAATCATCAAATGTGCTATTGCTGACTCAGACTGAAGACACCCATTCCCAGGGTGCGCTGTTAGGTCGCTTTGAAAAAGAGAAACACAAGTGTTACCTGCGTATTAGAGTCGGAAGGAAAAGTCTTCACCGAAATTTTCTTGGCACCAGAATCAGGTGTGGCAGCCACGGCCCGGTTCTGTAACATCAACGTGGCTGTGGCTATTTTGATTTCCTCCTCCTTTTTATTCTGTGCTGGAAGGGAGGAGGCACAAGCCACCACGCTTTCCTGACTGCCTTTGTTCAGAACTTTCCCATCTTTGTTCTGCAGGGGAGGCTTGGGGTGGGCACTCTGTGTAGTACCCTGCGGCTTTGCAAGTGTGCAGCTTGGACTGTGCTTCCCACGGTGCTCGGGGGCCAGCGACCTCTGTGGGAAGACCTGGGAGGGCCGGAGGAGGTGTTCGCTAGACTTGCCCAGGTTCCTGCTGAACTCTGTGAGGTATTCTGTATTTCCCTGGAGACCAAACGGAAAGGCACTATCTACGCTTCGAGATCTCTTCCTGTCATCCGGATTAATCCTGTTTCTCTTCCCAGACCTTCCTCTTCTCTGAAGCCCAGGCTTTTGGTCAAATTTTTCAATTAACTGGTCCACACCAGGAATTGAGCAGGTGTCGATGTCCCGCCCAGTTCCTGGCAAGAAGGGGATATACCTTCTGTTTTCGTGGCGGTTGACATTGTCAGCATGGATGGCACACTCCTGATCATCAAGTAAAAATCTATACAAGGAAGTGGCTGAGGTGGGGGTAGTGGACGACGAAGATGACCTCCGTGACCGAGCTCCATCCAGAATGGGTCCTGCAGAATCTTGTCGCCGGAAGGGGAGCACATCTGGCCTACTTTTCTTGGTTTCAGAGTAAGCCTGTGGGCCAGGGGCAGTTGGGGATTTCCGTCTAGGGGAAAGGGCCTCCTCCCCCAGCCCCTCCTTGGCGCAGCTCTGAACATTCACGCACACTGAGGTCTGCTTTTGGGGGTCTTCTATGACCACGGAGCTGCAGAGACGGATCGCGGTCGTGTTGGCCTTGGCTACATCTTCCAAAGGAGGGCTGTTGGGCTGGGAACTGCAAGGTTTAGGAAAGCAATTCCGGGGCTTCTTGTAGTTGGTCCCTTCCTCTGCTGCATTTCTCAGCCAGGGACTCTCCGGAGGGTGATGCTTTTTTGAGGTCACCTCATTCTTTTCAGGGTCATAGGGTTGCAGAATCTCCGGGTGCCTCTGAAAGTTCAGCACGTGGGGTAATTTTGTGGGCCGGTCTTTGTGCTCTACAACTCCATTCCTGCCCTCGTGGAGGGGGGACTGCTTCTGGTTTCTTATTGGGCTAGTTTGCAGGTATGGGTTTTCTGAAAGCTGCAGTTCCTCTGGATTGTTCTCCTTCAACGCAGTCCCGTTGCTTGGATGTAAGGACAGATTATTTATCATCGAAGATGGGAACGCTGGAACGTTTTCTGGAAAAGGTGTACCTGCCAGACACCGTTCGGTGTTGTTCAGGACTATGTAAGGGTGACCATCAATTCCCTGGACCCTAATACTGACACCATAGGAGCCTGCCTTTGAGGGCTGGGAATTCCTTGGCTTCGGGGCCTCATCACTGGCGAGTCTCAGATGGACCCCATATTCCTGCTGCACGTGTTGGTATTCACCAAAATACAGCTCCATGGTTCACTGTCCCAGCTGTGGGGGAGGAAAGAGGGCATTATGTTAGGTCACATCAGTTTAGGCAATGTCAGTTTAGGAAATGTCAGGGTTCAAAACTAGCTAGACACGCTAAACAGCAGAGAGATTTGGGGACCCATAGCTGAGCACTGTCCTTACCTGCACTTCTTTTTGGGCACCCCTGTGTGACGATGGCTGGCTTGCCAACACTGGCTGCAGCCCTGGCCTGAGGGCAGTCTCTGGTGTAATGACCTGGCCTCTGGCATAGCTCTGCTCTGGTTTCCAGCTATTCTTGTCATTTTTTTCCCCCTTAGTAGGTTTCCTCACACTTTGTGCTATTTATTTTTAACCAAAAGAGTGTTCTGGTTGCCAGCAATTAAGAACAGGTACTTTTCCATGAAAATAGTTAAGAGCTAAGAGACTGAGGATTATCTTTTTAGTCATCCCTATCTCCGCCAAGTTCCCTCCCAAAACACTACCAGCCTTTTTAAATGCATATCTACCTTTAACAGCTTTCACGTTTATTTATTTTGCGTGTATGTATGTAGGTGTAAACACTTATGTAGATGCATGCATGCTACGGTAAGCACGGTACCAGAAGGCAACCCACAGAAATCAGTTCTCAGCTTCTACTGTTATACCCCAAAACTCGAAGTTAGGTCATCAGGCTTGACAGCAAGCACCTTCACCCACTGAGGCATCCAGCTGTCCACCTCTATGATTTTTTTTTTCTTCAGACCAGGTCTTATGTATCCCATGCTGACTTCAAACTTGCTATATATCCAAGAATGACCTTCAACTCTGAGCCTCTTGCCTGTACATCCTGAACTCTCAGATCATAAGGTGTGTGTTTACATAGCGCTGGCAAATATACCAAGGGCTTCATGCATGCTAAACAAGTACTCTACCAACTAAGCTACAGCCCAGTTCCCTAGCTTTGAGATATTTAATGCTATCTAAATACAATGTTTAAGACATGATGATTTTCTCTAAGGGGTTGTTTGGGAAATTAACAATGAGAATAAATGACGGAATTTTTTAAAAACTATTTTTCATACCAAACAATTCACCTGGCATATTCATCTGAAAAGTGTTCCTGACGGTCCAGGGTTGGGGTTCAGGGGTTGGGGGTGGGTGGGTAATAAAGCTCAAAATCTTTATTTTATAATGGATCCTAATACCACACCAAGAATTGCTGCCTCTTTCTGTGCAGGGTGTGGCTACCCATGAGGAACTGACCTGAAGCAGGACAAGCATCCCGCCTATTGCAGAAACCACCCAGAGAAACTGCAGCAGCCACAGCGACCCCCACCCCAAGAGACCTGCAACTGTCCCTCCCTGATAACCACCGTCTAGTTTGGGTCCCTTTCTGGGTCTTGTTGGGTCTTCCTTTCTATTCTGCAGTTAATTCTGGTATTGATTTCCCAGAGAAAGTTGTTTGTTACACACAGAGTGTCAAGTTCATGTGCACAAAATTTGCAAAGGGACCTCATTCTATCCAATCATGCTTCCTTCTCTATCCAGTTTGTGCTACTAAAATACACAAGAATGTATATTTTTAGTTGTTTCTTTAAAAAAAATGCTACTAATTTTAAAATGGTCAATATCAGTAAAATTATCAGGCCAGAGCTGGCAAGATGGCTCAATAGGTAGTTACTTGCTGTCAGGCCCAATGACCTAAGTTTGATACCATAACCCATATAGTGGAAGGAAAGAATACATTTTCCTCCAACTTCCACATGGGTGTTGTGGAATGTGGGTGCACACATACGAGTGCATGCACACATTCACACAGACACACACACACACACTCTGAATGTAATAATAAAATTATCAAGTTAGTTAAGTTCAAAGGTTTGTCTCCTTTTCCCTGCCCTTGGCAAATGATAGTAAAGGAATCACCAGGTCACAATAGGTGAGGGGTGTGGGTGTAGGGGTCAGTGAATGGGTGGGGGTCGTCCCTGCACTAGCAGAATGGAGCACCATGTGCCTGCAGTTTGTCTAGGTGAATGAATGGTGGTGAGATACAGCCCCAGATTACTGAAGGAAGCAGGGGAGAAGGGTCCAGATCCAGGGAGTCACTTAAGGTCGTGGAGAACTGGAGTAGTCAGCCCTCAGAGTGTCCTGGGCACCCTGGAGCAGGGCTGGCTTCTCTAGACACCTCTCCTGGACTCCAGCAGTGTCAGGGGGAACAGATGCACCTGGAACATGTGGTTCATGGACTGTGGGGGACTGACCAGAACTGCACTCCCCAGTTGTCTTCTGCCATGTCTTATGACTCCATGTGATCACATGGTTTATTCCAGCCCCAGCTCCAGGTTAGTGAAGCAATCCACATATCTGAATTTCATGAACCAGCCACAATTCACATTTCCTTGACAACAAACCTCAATCTGATATTTTTCTCAAAATGATGACACTTCTCAGCTGAGTGTCTTAAGCAAATGTAGATTTCCTACCCAATCAAAGCACAAACACTGAATTAAGAAGTGAATCTAAGGACAGCTGTTCTCCACTTCCAGGCACCAGGCCTGGTGTAAGATCCCAACACACATCACAGACACATTTGCTCCATCAGGCAGCCCCACCAAGGGCTTACATAATTTGGCAGTAAATGCTGATCAATTGCCAGGATGCAACATTGTAGCACTTTGGCAATAAAAGTGGTGTTGTGGAGTGGAAATAAGGCTTTTTGAAAAGGCTGCTAAGTGATGATAATCGCTTTAGTTAGTGAGATCAATGGGTATGTGTGTGGGAACAAAGACTCAACTCTTGGCAGAGCTCAAAACCCATGCCAGATGGAGACATGTCCTTTCTCTGGGCCATCACACATGATCAGGGAGCATGATTTGTCACGTAAGGCTGGTTCATGTGTCCCGGATTCCCTTCTCTAACTCCTAATGGCCTTGCCAGGCACACCAGAGGAAAGCCATCATAAACTTTATTGCAGCTTCCTTTCCTGGGACAATAATGCCCAAGCATCCATGTGGTGCCTGGCATTGGGGTTCAGGGGACTTGTTTGATTTGTGTGGATAATTCTGCTTTTCCATACGGAGTTATTTAAATGGTGACAAGGAGGGAGGTTAGTGAGTCCCAGAGCACCTTTGAACAGTCCAGGAAATGAAAAGTGAGCCGAGACCCAAAGGTAATTTCCCCTGAGTGTGATGCTCTGGCTGTCTCAGTCAGAGGGAAGCCACTGCCAGGCTAATAAGGAACAAGTGAAAACATCAAATAACAACATGTTTACTCCTGAAGATCACGCCTGAAGGGCCGATGGCAAAGCCAGGATTTTGTGGGGAAATATCCACACTGGAAGCTCCACTCTAAGGGAGGCTGGAGTGGGCTCAATCAGTAAAGTGTCTGATACACAGCATGGGGACCTGAATTCAACACTCAGAATCCATCAAAACCTTAATTCAGAACATCAAAAACAAAAACTGGGTGTCATGATGCTGATGATGGCCTGCACTTGTAACCCCAGTGTTGGGGAGGCAGGAGACCAGTGGCACCCTGCAGTTTGCTGGCCAGAATTGGTGACTCCCAAGCCAGTGAGAAACCCTGAAGTCGGACAAAAAAAAAAAAAAAGTGGGTGGCACCTGATGAATCATACCCAATTACCCAGTGTTACCCCTGGCTTTCATGTGTATGCTCTCTACTCTCCAGCATATACTCACATGCACACACACACACACACACACACACACACACACACACACACAGAACCACCATTAAAACCGAAAAACAGAATGAGCCACTAGAAGCCTAAGATGAACAATATGTACAGCTACATCCCATGTCTCCAAACCAGACAGAAAGCCACAGCCTTCCTTAAACCAAGCTTTGCACCCTGGAACCCATGAAAGCCTGAGGACATCATCTGGAAAATGAAAGTGAGGTTTGATCTCTTTTTGGTGTGTGTGTGGGGGGGGGGGGGATTGAGACAGGGTTTCTGCATGTAACAGTCCTGGCTCAGCCCTGACTGTCTTGGAACTTGATCTGTAGATCAGGCTAGCCTCAAACTCACAGAGATCTACCTGCCTCTGCCCCAACCCCCAAGTGCTGGGATTAAAGGTGTGTGCCACCACCACCCGGCCAAGAAGGGTCCTTTTAACAGGGCTGGAGATCATAGCAACTCAACCAGGACCACTTGGACAAACCCATACAACATATGCATGGGCTATGGTGACTTGAGGGTTCCCCTCTGCCCTCAGGATGCCCACTTTCACCTACCTGCATCGATGGGTCCCTGGCTGAGCCACTTCTCCATCTTGGTAGCATACAGACCACCTCTCTGTCTATGGCATTTTTATGTTCCCAAACAGAACTTTAAAATCCAGTGACTGTGCTAGAGAGATGGCTCAGTGGTTAAGAGGAACTGCTGAGCTTATAAAAGAACTGAGTTCGGTTCCCAGCACCCACGTGGCTGCACACAGCTGTCTGTAACTTCAGTCCCAGAGGATCCAGTGCCCTCTTCTGGCCACCAGAGCACTGTGTGCATGTGGTCCATGGGCAAACATCCTCATACATAATAAAATAAAATGAATCTTCTACAAAAAGTCTGAGCTGAGAATAGAATATCGAAGGCTATGCTGTCCCTGCACTTCCAATACACACCCACATTTAGTAATAAACTCAGTGAGACCTCCTGAACTCAGGCTCTGGAAAAATACAGAATTCATGCTCAAAATAATACTTAAGGTATGCTCACATCTTGACCCTTGAGGTGATTTCTAAAAGCTTCAAGAATAGAGCCAGGATGCAGGGAGGCACAGCGGTGGGAGAGGGATGTGGCTCAGTTGGTAGACTGTTCACTTAACCTGACAGAGCCATGGGTTTGGTCCCCAGTGCCACATAAACCCAGAGATGGTGACTCGTGCCTGTCACCGTAGCATTGGTAGGTGGAGTCAAGGAAATCAAAGGTGAAGCCCTTAATTACACAGCAAGTTTGAGGCCAAACCTGGCCATGTGAGAGCTTGTGTCAAACAATAGCAACAAATAAACAAAAAATCAGAAAGGGG